TTACAATGTTGTGGAATGTCAGCTTTTCTACTTTAAATTAGTGCAAATCAGGCCCTCGATTACATGAAATTCTCAAATCAGCCCTTTTAGTAAAGATATATTATTTTTCCATTAACCCCACTAAGATGGGATGATTAGGTGATGATTACGCAATAATTGAGCAATGACTTGGATAAAAAATGCAATCTAAAAATCTCTAAAGTGATAACGCATTGCTTAATCATTTCCTACTCATTACTTATCCCATTTTAACAAGGCAATGGAAGGTGTAATATTAGGTTGTGTTATAAGAATAATTTTTTTATATTATTTTTTGATATAATTATTATATGTTATTAAATAAGTTGATGCATTCAATATCACAGGATTCATATAAATAAAAAAACTAATTAGATAAATGACACATTAAGATATATAAAAAAATAAAATAAAAAAATTATTCCAAAATTATTTCCTTTTTACATTATCCATGTTATGGATGTGATGACAGGTGGCAAATGGCTATTGGTGAATATGTTTCGAAGAAAATATTGGGTCCCACACATAAATTGGACTAACTGCTAAATAGGGAATTAGTGTGCTGTGATTATGGCCTCAACACCTGTTCAATTTTTGTTGTAATTTATGTCTGATTCTAAGATAATTATCGTTTTTCAAATTTTAAATTAATAATTTAAGAATAATTTATATATTTATTAAATTTTACATTGAAAATACATAAATTAATCTATAACTATAAGTTTATATATATATAATACAAGTTTATATATAAAAAAATATATATAAGTATATATACTCACACATATACAAGGATATATAAAGTAATAAAAGAAATATAAACAAAAATTCACGTGATTTTTCTTCAATTGAATCTTCACCGCCAAAAGAAAAAAAAAATAAACATTTTGATTTCATAACATTATATTACAAATTAAGCATATAGAATTAAAATATAAGTAAGGGATATAAGTTAGATGTACAAGTTAAGTATATCAATTAGGTATACAAATTAGATATGTAGATATTAATTCATGTATCTAATATTTACCTGATACTTAGTAGTTATACATTTTTCATACTTGATACTTACCTATCTTTTTATAAATACAGATAAAATATTTATCTAAACAAATCAAGTATCACATATATTAGATATATTCGTACCCCGATGCTCAGCCCTAATTTTAACCCTGCT